AACACTCATGCTGAATTTAATGTTTTTCTTGACTGCATTGCTGCTCAAGAATTACTCGCTTCCGACCTGAAGATCACTTTAGTGCCGCTTGACTTTACAAATAAAGTTCCGCTCAATACTGCTTTGTTTGACAAACTCTCAAATCTCACAAGTTTCTATGGGAAATTTACATATGAACTTTTGTCCATCATTCGTTCAACATGGCTTGGTGGTGATCCTAAATTCTTTAATGGTTATTTTCTTTGGGATGCTAAAACCATCGCTATCATAAAAAATATTGGCGTTAGAGAAATTGTGTCAAATCGTACACTGGCTGTTACTTGTAAGGGAAACATTAATTATGATGGTCAATTTGTAACTTCTCAAGTCTTGACCAATGCAAATCTTCAGGTTGCTAGTGAACCTATTATTAGCAACCCTGTCGAAGATTCTCCATTCTTTCAAGATTTCATTGAGGTACTTGGCAAAAATTAGCATTGTGCGTGGTAAAGAGTTAGCAAAGAACCATTTTACATTGATCCTGATTCAAGGATTGTAGGAATTGAACTAATTGAATAATAAATAATATGGGGCATGCTGTAGCAAAATCTGACAAAGTGAACATTTTTGTATTATATACAAGAATTTCAGAAATCAAAATTTAGAAGATTCAGCAGTGGGTATAATATTACACTACCTGTGTGCACACATCTTTTTTTAGAAAATTTTAATTATTAATATTATATTGTTTAATATGGGGCATGCTACAACAAAACCAGACAAAGTGAACATGGTATTACCAAGAATTTTAGGATCAATAGTGCTTGCTTAACATCACAATTGTATTACCAGTGTATGTCACAATATTTGTCTAGACAAAAATAGTTAGTATGAAGTTAATTTACATTAGGTCTACCATGGAACCCAAGAATTAAGTATGTTGAAGAAAGAACAAAGTGAAAAAATTGCTCCTTACATTTTCATCACTTGAATCAGGGTTTTTACAATTGCTCTGGTTTATTTTTTATTTTATTTTAATTTTTTTAATATTATGTTTTAATTAAATAATAAAGCAGCTATTGTAATCTAGATGAGAGGTTTAATAATATTTTGTTTTCAATTTTAATGATAATGATGACCAATCATTCTAATCATTAAAGATGGACCACTATTAGCCACAATTCAATTTTCGTATGTTGCAATCACAACTGCAATTAAATTTTTATATCTAAAAAAAAATGATCAGTGATCTTTTTTAAAAGATTTTGATATTTTTGGTGAATTTCTAGAATGTATAATTGCAAAGAATAAAGATCAGCTATTAACAGAAATAAATACTTATAAATAAATACTATATAATTACTTGTAAGACCCACCAACATTCTTGTAGCAGATTTTGTAATGATGCCACTTCTTCTGGAAAATCTAATTCAACGACTGAAAAAATATTGGGCTTAAATTAATTGGCCAATTTGCAACATACATATGTAAACTCAATAAGTCGGTCATGTGGGGGTGAGCTCATATGACCAACTTATTGAGTAAACTGACTTATCAAGTGACCGACTTATCAAGTTTACATATGTACACATCTGCAGTTGTTCTATAAAGTTTACTAAGAATCTTGCATCTGACTCAATTATTTATATGTTTTTCATATGACAATTAATTGTAACAAAAAGTCACCTGATTGAGTCAAATGATCAACCTACTTATACCACATGTATAATTGAGATATTTCCTCTGGTAACATTTCTACATAAGCTTAAACATAAGAACAACTTCCTCATATAACTTCGAAAGATCTTTGTTTTTCTTTCCCAAATGGATGCAGTTGCTGTTTCAATGTAGATAAATTCAATTTTACAATTAAATGAAAACACCATCATATTTTGACTTTTTCTTTGACTTATTCCAAACATTTTTTGTGCTTTGCTGGATACTTCACTGCTATTATGTGAAAATAGTCAACAAAAAAAATTTTTTTTCAACTAAAGGATAATTAAAAAAAAATAGCATATCATTGGCATTATTAAAATATACCATCTTAAAGCACAATCTCTTAATGATGAAAATGCAGTCATCAAAAAATGGTTGATTTCAGCAAGAGTTTTAATAAATGTTTTATTTATTAATGGTCAGGTTATTTAATGTGAAAGTGTTTGTTTATTATTAGTGACAATATTTTGGTATAAGGCTATTATTATGTTATTATTATTATATCATGAACATGATGATTTTAACTTGGCCTAAAACCAAGCATATTTATACCTCTTAGGGTATTATTATTGTTATTTATGATGATCGACATTAAAAAATTTTTTGAGCCATTAATTTACCACTTGATTACTATTTCAGTAATATATGATTTAATAATTTTTTATTCATAATATTTCATCAGCAAATGATTATTTGTAATAAAAGATCTGCAGTTATAACATTTAGAGAACATTATTGTCTAATTGCAAACAATACATCTATATTTTTATCTCATTTTTAAATCATCACTTATTGGGGTGACTTACATTATATGATTTTACAAACATAGTCAATCACATATATAATTTTTCATATATGACAATTTTATGCCGATCTTTTTTTCAATAGTAAACTTTGAATGATTATAACTCTTTAAAGAATAGAGATACTGGCTCCAAGTTAAGTTTAAACCATACTAGAGAAATAGGACAATAAAGTAATAGAGCCCTTTTTTTTATTTTAATATAAACAATGACATTTATTTTAAGCTAGAAAATCAAAGTAAAAGTTGAGAATATATGTTACAAAATTTTATGCAAGTAAAATTGTAAAAAGCTCTCTATTAGTTTAAAGAGCATCAAAAAGTGAATCTAAAACATAAATTTTTATTTGAATATAACATATAGTTTAAGAGTTATTTTGAGTTTTGTAATTTTGCAAAGTTTGCCAATTTGTATAATAAATTTAAAAATTTTTTTTGTGGCACCAAAAAAATAATAATAAATCCGCAAAACCCCTAAAAAATCCTTATTAATGAAAATTTATATATGTGATCAACTATGTTTGTAAATCATATGATGTGAGACACCCCAATCACTTATATCATTTGATGTGATATCATCAGGAAAGTTTCCCTGCTGTAATATTATGTCCAGAAATTTTAATATGTAATGTTGTAATATTTGCATAAAAAATTATGTAATATTTACACTCAATGTAATAATTGCATAATTTTTGTATGCTTATTTGCACAATATTACATTGGATTGATCTAGGGTTTGCCTTTAAAACACTCATTTGGACACTACCCGCCCAAACCCAACCTGTTCAGAGCTTTAGGCCTATTAAATACAAAAAGAAAATTGGCATTGTGAGATAGTAAAACTTGAACATCATAATTAAAAATCTATTTTTGCATATTTATTTGTTGATCAAGCTTATTCAAACAACAGAGATGATCAACAATTTATATGTGAAGAGCATTGTAAAAATTGAAAAAGTACCCACTTAGAAAAATGGTATACCACCACTTATTTACATCACCTCAAATTTTGTATGATGACACTAATAATATAGTTCTTTTCTGAGCAGAATTCAGTTTGGACTTTTAATAGTTAAAAGATTGCTTTAAATTTTGCTCAAAACAATGCAGATGATCTAATTTATTATTATACACCTACTAAAAGCCTTTGCAGAGAATAAACAAGTATTTTATGGCCTCACAAACATTCACAGACTTCCAATTCATAATGTAGTTCAACTTTGATTTGATTTGATTTGAAAAAATAATTAAATATTTGGCTAATTTTTATTGGATTATCAATAAACTTTGTGTTACATTATTTGAACCAAATTTCTGGATTTATGTATAACACCAATTTTTTGGTTCTTATATGGGGCATACTGCAACAAAACCAGACAAAGTGAACATTTGTATTACCAAGGATTTCAGGGATCAAAATTTGTAATGTGATTATTAAAATTTCCCATTTGTTTAATATTAAGTGATATATAGAATTACTCCTATATAAAAATAGTTAATATGAAGTTAATTTACATCAGATCTACTATGGAACCCAAGAATTATAGTACTATCAGAAGTATTCTAAAAAAGGAACAAGGTGAAAAAATTGCTCCTTACATTTTCAAAATAAATGATACTCAAACACTAGAAACTTATCTAAGGAAAAAAAGATTAATTATGAAATCTACCAAGAAAAAAGAAAAATTAGAAGAGTTAATTTTTACTTTGGAACATAGTTGTTTGCCATAATTTTTTTGCATTTTCCATATATTATGGCAACATTATTCTCTATATTATCTAAATAAAAAAACCACCCAGAATTATGGCTATTGATTTAAAAAATTCAAATAATTATGGAAATTATTTTGGCAACTATCAAAATTAATTATGGTAACTATGGCAGAATTATGGCATTACAGATACAGTGACAATCATCTATTAAGAGAGGCAATTATGGCAAACAACTATACTTTAGAATTAATTGGATAAATTCTAAAAATGTAATTATAGTTAAAAAAATTTTTTCTTGAAGACAGATTTATTTAAAAAATAAAAAATATTAATTTTTCCTTATTATTTTGTAAATTTCAAATTCATCCAACAAACCACTACCTCTAATGTTCAAATTATTTATATAAACAGAACGATTATTAAAAAAATAATGATAGTAATGACTTTCTGTAATATAACCCACAAACAAATCACCAAAACTTAAAATTGATTCAGCCATTTCATCACTGTAGTGATAAAATGCTTCTTGAGAGTTTTGGACTCTACTTAATATTGTGTCACTTTGTCCAATTTTGAAAATAAAGCTTTTGTCTGATTCAATATAATATGAATCATTTGAAGATTTTTCCTCTTTATTCCAACCGACAGGATTATATCCACCTATCAATTCACCTGTTTTTTTTATTTTTAAAATTGTTGCAGTTTCTTTAATGTTGTAACATTTATCTTCAAATGCAGATCTAGTGAATCCATCTTGACTGCCCTGAAAAATTAATTCAAATTTGTAAGGGGTGTTATCTTCATTATATAGATTGTTTTTGCAATCAATCCAACTTGAAATTAAGTATTTGGTTTGTGAATTTAATAATTGTCCTGTTCTTATTGCTGTTTTTGATCTTGGACCTTTTTGAAGTATAAATCTTGGTTGGCATCTACCAGTAACCTGGTATTGAAGAAGTTCTTCATATATTTCTTTATTAAATATTTTTTTATAAGATTTGATTTTATCATAAAAGTCAATAGAGGAAATTTTGTAAAATCTTATTAACAGAATAATGTCATCTAATTCATTTTTTAGCATGATAAAATCCTCCTTCATCCATTCTGAAACTTCTTTATTTAATTTTTCATTTTGATTTTTTCCCCATTGAATGACAATATCCCAAATATCGATTTCTTTTAATTCTAAGTCATCTCTTTCTAACATAGTAATAAGCATAGACTTTTCAATCATTGTGATGTCATTGGATTTAAAAAACAA